TGTCCAAAGAAAAAAATTTTCATGCAATTGGTCCAGGTGTATTTGGATATTTTCTTGCTAGTTCTAGTTTAGTGCTAGTTACAATGGATGAGAGGAAACAAGGAAAATATTACAATTTTACAGTTATTAACGATTATTGAAGCAAAGTTTTATTTTTTTCCTTTTTAAAAATGGATTTAACACAAGGACTTGAACTGGAATTTATGGCTACAAGAACACTTGTAAACAGAAAACCATAATAAGCTCAACAACAATCTTGTAGGAGAAACTTTACTGAGAGCCCTGGAATTCGTTTTTTTATGTATAATAATTACATATCCCTCATATTCTAATATATGTATAACTTGCTGAGTGCAGTTTGTGCTTATATTGATCTTAAGATGTTAGCAGCCAACTGTTTCTTGGAAATAACATTCTTTAAAAAGTGAATGAAAAGGCACCTGAAAAAGTTTGAATTGTTTAAAAAAAAAAAAAAGTATTTTAAACAAGTGTTGTTCATCCATTCCTTTTGACAATGTCCATTTCTTTCTTTTGTACCTGATGTGTTTCACTTGGATCGCCTTCCTATGTTTTGTATAATCCTTTAATCAGAAATTATAGGATAAACAACAGTGGCAGTATTTTGTTGTCATGGCTTATGATTTATATGCCATGGTTCACTGCGTCACAGCTGGAGGCAAGATCAAGATTGCTTAGTATCAAAGTATGACTCCATATTTGTACGTTCACATAAAGCATTTCAGCACCATAGATATTGAAAAACCAACCTTTTAAACATGGGTCAGCAGAAAATCTAAAACAATCCATAAGTCATTCGTATAGAGAGATCACATTTCATTTACATCATGTGACCCTTTTGTAAAATCAGTTTCCATGATTTTTTTTATTGTCAGAACACAGAGAAAAACATGTACAAGTCCAGGGCAACAACAGATGGTATTCTTTATGGTATCTTGTTTTTTATGCATTGGGGATAAGCGAACCCCATATGTGACAAACAGAGAGAAGACGTAAAGCACAGAAATTCTTCTTGTCGCTCTACGCATGTGTTTATCATAATTTTACAATTAAATGTATGCTTATTAGCCTTATTTGGATTTTAAACATAAATCAAATGAGTTCTTTTAAACACAACATAACAAATGTATTTAATTTGAAAGAGGTATTTTGGAACCTACTTGACTTGAACGTGCTGAGGCCAGGTTTTATGAGAAATCTGTGATGACAGCAGAATGAAATAAAAATGTGTTCACAAAGTATTTTTAATCAAACAACCCAATGTGTAACACGTCATCTACATGAAGATGTTATCCAGGGGCTTCGCTACATTGGTCATGACAGTGATTATAGTGCGACGAGAGTACCACAAACTTTTTGTTGAGCTGTTGAAACTAGGCCAAAGGTCCAATGACTTAAACCAGTTCATTTGCCAAAAGAGGAAGAGATGCTTGTCTTCTCCTTGCCTCTGCACTGAAGCTGGGGTCATCTCTCTGCAGACTCTAACCTGGTGTTACCCGACTGGACACATGGGCCTTTGCTGTTTCTATAGAGTTTTCTCTTAAAGTTCAAGCCGCCTCTCCGGGGCCTTGTCAAGCTCTTCCTGACGGGGAATGGATAAGCGGAAGTCTAAGTAATATTTGCCTACAGCTTCATTTGTCTACATTACGAGCGCTGAATCACTGAAGAAGATTAAAGGACTTCTAACCCCCCCTCCTCGAGGCTTACGTCACTCACATTCTCTTTTCAAATCTCCCTCCAAATGGGCTTAGCCTGGAGGACTAAAGGGGACTGAAGGGGGTGAATATTGGGCGGGTCTAGGCTGTGATTGACACTTGACATCAGCATTTGCCATGTCAAAGATGGAGAGTGATCACAGCGACGCCAGATCTACAGCTTCTGTGCGGTTTTGGAAGGTGGAGGACTTCTCTCCACCGTCCGCACCGGAGGTTGAGAGAGAGAAGGCAGACAGCGGCCTTCAGCCCTATCAATTCGGGCACCACCGAATAAAAAGTACAAACTGCTTGTCACAGGTCTTGAAGGGCAATCATGTAGGGGTCCGGACCCTGAAATGCTAACCTGTCTGAATCAAACCTTTGACAAGAGTGGCCATTTATGTAGCCTTCCCATATTCCCACACAGTAACCCCTTATGTTGCAGTGCTTTGCTTGACAGTTTTGTCCGTACATCTTATTTATGAACCCAGACCAAGATAAACTATATGTTGTGGGATCCTATAGTTATAATATTCTAAACTCTGCCACAATAACCTGCGGCCACTGCACCTCCTTGTCCCCAAGGGAAAACTTGTGCTGCATGGAAACTCCGAAGGCATTTTGGATAGAAATGATACCCCAATGTGCATAAGAGACAGTAATTTAACACATGCTCAAACATAAAGTAGTATTTATTGTACACAAGTACTATAAACAATATACAATGAAATTGCACACTATATACAATTTACAATACAATACAACTTATTCTTGTATAGCCCTAAATCACAACAGAAGTCATCTCAGAGGACTTAACAAAACCATTGAAATCACCAACACAGATCAGAGAATCAACAGTTAAAACACACAACATAGAACATATGTTGAAAAATGTCCATACATGTTGTAGAATGTGTCCTGGATCATCACCACAGTCCTTCTAGTTGGACACTAACTGCCCAACAGACCCTCCTGCATCGGCAAGAAAAAACTCATAAGAAAACCCAATATAGATATAGAACTAGTAATACTAACAAAAGTCCTAAGCTAAATTCAGCTAACTAATCTAACAATAAAAGCAACTAATAACTAAAACTACAATATTCAAAAACAACGCTATTAACACTACACAATTATCTATAATACAAACAGCTATGCTAATAAAAATGTACCTGCTATAACTAAACGCAAACCTGACAATCAATGAAAATACTCTCTGCTATTCCTTCACCAACTCGTACAGGGGCGCGAACGAGACGGGGCCGCTTGTATACCTCAGGGCAAAAAAAAAAGTGGATTTGAGTGTGAGTTGTCCTTTAATAGTTGCTAACTGGGAGGAAATTAGTATTTATTATTGTAAAGTTGTTATGCAGTGATTGATTATTTTGAGATTATTAATATATTTTTAAATCTAAAGGGTTTACCTGATCATCTGATAATCTAATAAGTTTCAATTTAAATACAATTGGGAAGTGTCTACTAATGTTGTTAACAGGTTAGATACGATAATCCCCTTGTGATTTATTAAGTTGTCCTGCTTGTTTTTATCTAGTTATCACAGACGCCAGTACTAAACAGTAGACTGAATATTGTTTTGCAGCAGCTGTCTGTTCTTTTGGTAATTCATTGCGGCCTAACAAATGTTTACCACTTCCTCCATTGAGTGCTCCAAGTGCGTGCCAGTGAGATAACAAAATATTTGCCCCTGTATTACAGTTTTACACGACACATAACTAATATATTAGCACGGCAACAAAAATGTTCAATAGATTTCAACAGTTTTATTCTCCCCATGGAATCAGGCAGCAGATTGTCCACCTTCGAAGAGGCCAGCAAAATGTTCTTATATAGATAAATATACCTACTGCAAGCATTTACCTTGAACTATGAGTTTGTCCTGTTAACTATTAACATTTTGAAGTAATCTAATCATGCTTTTCAGAAGAATCTCAACTTGATTTTTATTCACCTATTTTCAATATTTTTATTACGATGACGTAAGGATTGCTGCTTCTTCCAGTTGCATCCTCTCCTGAGGTAGCGGTTACTATGCTGTGTTTTTACATAGCTTGAGCGCACTGTTTTTGTCTGGGCCCCGAGTGAGCATGGTGGCGTAGTGCTGGGGCTGTGTGGAGGAGCTGAGGGGGACGTTAAGTTCTCCAGAGAGCCACCACGGAATTCTGCAAACAGAGCAACTGAAAAACAACATATGGCTATTTATTTAAAGAAAGTAATAGGGCTGCAGCCATTGATGAATAACATGCACGATTAAATTTGAACACTGACACAAAATTCAACACTAAAATGTATTAAAGGAGCAATGTGTAAAAATCTGGCCAAAAGCGGTACTGCAGTCACAGTCAATATTTTGCAGTCCTCTCCCACTCTCCCTGACTCAGGTTGCTAGATACACACCAAATCCAGCAGCAAACACAGGGAATTATTTTATCAGTTGTTTGTCTGTCTCCATTCACATTGCCAGGATTTTGTTTAAATTATTATTTAGACATTTGAGATGAGAAAAAAAAAATAACAGACTGATACATGTAGTGCCTTGCAAAAGCAACTACATTACTTTAGTTTACTGTATTACTACAGTATTACTACAGCATTACACAGCCCCCCAGTCGTTTGCTGTCTGTCCAGTCCTCTCCTTGTTCAGCAAGGTGCAGCAGTCATGGGAATGTTCTAAAGGCAAAGGCAAATATCTGCATGAATACTTCTGTACGGCAAACTTTTCACTTTTCTATTTTTAAAATAATAGCAGCCATTTTACCTTCACTTAGCAGTTGTCTATAACTTGTGTGTGATGGTTGTAAACTTGACAAAATATGACACAAGTTCAAGGTGTATTAGTACTTTTGAGAGGCACTGTACAGATACAGTAATGGATATATTCTTTAGTAATGTTTATGTCATTATTGTCATGCTGAGTGGCCACACAACTCCAACTTTAAGACTCCAGGTGGGTAGAGCACATTTCACATTTTGTTGTGCAAATGAATGCACAAAAGAAACACTAATTTGAACTATTTTAACTCATTTTTTGTGCAAAGTTAGGTTCTAGTGATTGAAAACTATTAAATGCACATATAAAGTAATTGCAGTGAATACTTATAGCATGAGGAAAAGTCATTGTGCCATTGAAAAGAAAACTTGGTATCCCTTCTTATTATTGACCAGTAGTAAATCTAATACACCAGTGTGGATGGGACCTTCAAATGTACAGATCCAGTATTATTTTGTGATTCATATCGGCTAATGATACCTTTCTCCTCTTGTCCTCAGTTCAGTCGGGTCCGGTCCTCTGGGCTCTTTCTTCACCGGTCTGGACCAAAGTGCAGTCCAGCATCTGAAGCTGGACGGGGGAGAAGCGAGTGGAGCCGAGGGCATGGCCTTCGTGCTGAGACACAGAACTGCCAGTACTGCTCAGTCTACAGAGGAGACCACCTCAGGGTCACACAATTACCTCACCGCCACAGAGTGCCCTTCTGAGAATGGGGTAAGCGGCTCACGTACTGGAAATAACATCTCTGAATGAAGATTTTAAAAAATATCAGTCTTTTATAAATACAATCTGTGCTACTTTCATTGGAGCTGATCACAGTGCTCTGTGGCCCTTCCTCTTTTGCACTTTTGAACACTATAGAGAAATCTCTTTGCTGATCTTTTATTTTGTGTCTTTAGCTCCGATAGTTATTGAGAAATGCGAAGTTTATGCATTATAAATGATAAATGGAACTGTCTGACAACACTTGTGATGTACGCAAAAAAATAGTTTCACCCCTGAAGAGAAAGGAAGTTACTGTAGTCATCATCATTGAGTGATAGTGATAAGATTTCAGAGAGGACTGTTCTCAGCTAAAATTATTAAAGCATTCCTTGGATGGAGTTATATGTTGGCCTTGCCTGCAAATGAAAGCCTATTACAATTGCTTTGCCCATGCACGGGCTCCCCGTGTGAGCATGGACTTCCTCTCACCACAGCATGGGCCAACACTAGCCGCGTTTCCACCGCAGGAACTTTGGGGTAATTTTCCAGGGCCAGCCCATGGATCTATGATAATAACTGGATCGGGTATTACTATCTTATAGCTGTCCCACCCAGGGGCACAGGGGGCGCCCGTGGTACTGCAGACTAATTTCCCGCGGGCTACCCAGAAAGAAGTCCCATTGAACTCAATGTAAACTAAAACAGCTCGACCTCAGCTGACAGAGAACCTACAGCTTTCATAAAGGTCGGATTTTAGTGTCCCTTGTCATCCTGAACTTTTTTCTTTTTAAATCCTTCGGTTTTCTTTAAATCCACACTTTAGTGCCACAAACTCTGCTCCTTTCCTTCCCATTCTGACTCCACTCTACTGCTGCTCTGATCAGCAGCTCTGATTGGTCAAAGCGCGGCCGAGCCCCTCTGTGCATGAGAGCCACACACGCGTATTTGGCGCAACGCATCATTGGAGATAATCCACTGCGCAGAACTGGGAGGACCAGACGAGGCCCAAATATAGGCGAGTTCTGCTATCTCCCTGTCCCCGTGAAGTCCCATGCGCTACTGAGCACAAGCCATTCATTTGAATAGGGCGCCATCTTGGATCACCGGGGCTTGGGCCAGCCCCATCGGTGCGTGTCTCCACGGCCGGAACTTCCTCCGCAGGGCTATTTACAGGATCTTTTATTGGGCCCAACGGTGTCCCTCCTCCATGCTAGGTACTCCGTTGGGCCCTGGTGGGACTTGAGGTTAACCCCGCGCTGATTGGCTAGCTAGGGCAGGCTCTGACGCCACCAGAAAGCACCAAAACAACCAGTATTCAGCAGCATTAGCTCAGCAGCATTAGCCTAGCAGCATTAGCCCTAGGAAATGGCGAACAACAGTACAGCATTGATTCAGACAGGGTTTGAGGCATCGTGGCGAAATGAAAAGATATTTTTAGACACATCAGCTTCACCTCGAAGCACTGAGGATTCATCACACTCCAAAACAACCCGTGAAAACCTTTAAGAAACTGAAGCAGGACTATAAAAAACTCAAAGACCACAACAACTGGAGCGGTTAAAATAAACAAATGGGTTTAGCATAATGAGTTTCGCTTATGCAGCAATCGGAACTCATGACGTCACCGAGTGGTCCTACTCTGCAGTGGAGACATGGCCACTGAGAGGACCGAGGGGGAGGACAATTTATGTCAAAGTTCCACCCCGCTCGTTTTACCAGGAACTCCTGTGGTGGAAACGCGGCTAATATCTTTCCTGCGAGGCATGTACATTTCTCCGTTGTGAGATCAATAAAAGTTGATCTTATCTTATCTTTTGTCCCCCCTTAACTGGCCAATCGCGTGTGACCTGTGGAGTATGTAGGTCGTTGCTAGCTGGCTACTTGCTCTCTGGTTCTCTTGGTCTCTGGGTCTATCTTGTGTGTGTGTGGGCCCTCTGCACATGGAGACCTCCTTTGGCTCCCTCTCTCCAAACCAACTCCAACCTTGTCTTGTCTTTTGTTTATGCCTGTATGTACTTTGTAACTCTATTAACTGTCATCAAATGTTCTCTCTTTGATATTCGCCTATTGCTATTACATGATCATATATTATATCATATTTTCAAGAAAACACGCATGTGGGGGAGTAAACCAAGTTACAAAGGACAATGAAATTATTGTTGTGTTAATTAATTGAATTAACACAACAATAGTGCCTAATTTAAATAGCAATATTTATCATATTATAAATATCTAATATGACAACTTTATTTTAAAATACAGGCTTGTTTAAAGCACATTCCAGCTGTATACTCCTGTATGCTCCAACATTTGGGTCACAAAACATACTGTATCTTTTCTGTTCCAAAAAAATCTTCTTACCAGGACTTTTTCTGTATTTTCTTGGGTCTTTATCCCCCTCCGTCTCCATGAGCTTCTTAGACCTCTTTCCTCCTTTGTCGTTTTGATGATTTGGTCTGCTGTTATTAGCGCCACATTGTGAAGGCCGGAGCCCCTGCCATTGCGCTGCTGCCTTCTGGATATTAAATGGTAGCGTGATTTGCAAGGTCTAAAAATACAACTGAGTATTTGTATGGCAGACGTTTTGAAGCATTGCCTCAAAATGAAAATACTAAAGGTGTGTTTTGAATTGGCATTAACAATGTTTGCAATGATCAAGTTATATTTCTTGTGTTTATATAAGAGGCAAAAATATTATATCAAGTAATTTGGCCGGTTATTACCGCTGTGAGAATATTAACCAAAATCATCAAAGTCTGTTTTTTTTTGGTGAGCTAATAAAGTTACATACATCTTCTTTGCTTAAATATGTTTCGACTGTCTTCTTTTATCTATTGTATTTAAAACACAAATATAAGATAAGATAAGAATTCCTTTATTCGTCCCACAGTGGGGAAATTTTGATGCTGCATCGCACATATAGGACAGTAGTAAGAGCACACTGGGATCACACACAATATATACAAATAAGTAGTAGCTATGTTTCTTAGCTAACACAACTAGCTGTAGATGCTGGAAATGCTTCAATACCAGTCAAAATATATATGTAGTAGTGCAGTTATATACTGTACAGTTAAATAGTGCAGGATAAAAAGTATATAAGTAAAGTGACATGAGGTAAAGTGACATTGTTCTGTGACATCCTGAAGTTGCAGTATTGCACATAAAAAATATTTTCCTCTTTTTAGCTTTTAACTGTTACAACATGGATACATGCGCTCGATGCATGCGATGCAAACGCAGGAGATGAAATTCCCTCAACCTCCTTGCCCCCACACATGTGTGGCAACCAATCAGAGAGCATTAAAGGGGTCACAGGGATACAAGGCAGTCAAAACAGAAAGACGAAAACAACCGAAGCTAGAGCTAAACCAGGATAAAAACAGGATTAAACCAATGGATGGCACCGTGATGTGAACATATGTCTTCACCCTGAGTGGACATTCTACTGTTACTGGATACAAGAGCTGCGAACGGAAATACCGGTTAATGATATGGCTTGTGTTAATAGCACATGGGACACACAGGGACCGAGAGATTAGCGGAACTCGCCTATAGTTGGGCAATTTTCTGGTCCTCCTGGTTCTGCGCAGTGGACGAGCTTCCATGATGCGTTGGACCAAATACGTGTGTGTGGCTCTCAGGTGCACAGAGGGACTCGGCCGCGCTCTGACCAATCAGATCAGAGCAGCAGTAGAGCGAAGCCAGAGCGGGACAGAAACAAGCAGAGTTTGTGGCAGTAAAGTGTGGATTTAAAGAAAAAGAAAAAAGTTCAGAATGACAAGGGACACAAAAATTCAAACAAAATACGATTTTTATGAAAGCTGTAGGTTCTTTGTCAGCTGAGGTCGAGCTGTTTTAGTTTACATTGAGTTCTATGGGACTTTTCTCTGGGTAGCCCACCTGAATTTAGTCTGCTGTACCACGGGCGCACCCCGGCACCTGTGCCCATTGGTGGAACAGCTATAAGCTAGTAATACCCTATCCAGTTATTATTATAGATCCATGCTCGGGACACAGACATTCGGGCTGCACTCGTGGATGAAAACTTTACGTCAGATTTAGGGATGTAAATCGGTGACCGGTTAACCGGTGGTTGACCGTCACAGCGTTAACCGGTCAAAGCTGTCGGTTAAAAATAAGAAAAAGCGGAGAGGGGAGGTCTCTTCATAACGCTATTTTAAGCCCTATTTGCACGATGTGACGAGCGGGTCCCTATCTAGCTGTGTGCGCCAGTGCATTAGTAGACTACGGGCGACTTTCATGGCGCACGCTCCACATATGCACGCAGCCACACGCGCGCGCACACACACACACACACAAACACTTTCCCCCCCTCCATACGTAACATCCACACGCATCATCTCTCCCCTCTGTTACCGCCAAAGTTCCACACTAGTGCAGGTCAGAACTACATTGGAGCTTATATTTACACACACACACATACATGTATTGTACACACACACACATACACACATACATACACACATGTATTGTACACACACACATACCGGTCTGTCGCGCTCCTCTGTGTCTCGCAGCCCAAAGAATCCTCGCAAATACGCGGCTTCAGTCAAACACATGAAACATGTTTGTGCTGCTGGTCCTTGTCATTAGATCAGATCCACACACATCACTTTTAAACTTTAGCGGAGACCTGCGAGACGCGGCTCGTCACTCGCTGCTCTGACCATGTGGACGAGCTGTCTTTTGCTTAAAAATGCTTTACCCGCAGCACAGAAGAATGGGAAGATTAAAAAAGCAGTTCTCTGTGCACAAAGGTGCCGAAGCTGTTGCGGGTTTTGGCGCTGCTGTCTCAGCTCTGATCTAGTAGAACGCATAGATAAACTTATGAAAAGTACGCGGCTCGAAATGGCTGCTATTTCAAAGAACGTGGAATATTTTTAACTACGCGGTTAACCGGTTTCAACCGGTTAATGAGGCTCGGTGGTCGGTCATGAAAATGCATAGTTTTTTACATCCCTAGTCAGATTGACTAAACTCAAGCT